GTAACGGTGGGAGGGGGCGGCAGGGCCCTTGTGACAGCCCTTTCTCTCCCCAGCTCCTGGATTTTCCTACCTCCTCCGGTAAATAAATAAGAAACTTACATCGCGCCCGGCGTCGGCGGAGGCCGGAAGGAGCCGGAGGCCGTCCCCGTGCCCACCTGAGCGCAGGTGTGAGGATGGGCCTGGCCGCGATGCCCACAGAGGTAGGTCCCGTCTGCCCCGCCGGGCAGCGCGCTCGGGGCTCGCCGGTGCCCGGCCCGCTCGGGTGTGCTCAGGTGCCTTGGCAGGTGCTGGCTCGGTTCCTGACCGTGCAGGATGGGGCCGGAGCCCTGCACGTAGTTTCTTGGCTGATGGAGAACTTTAAAATGGAGGTTTGGTATTATGGCTGGAAGTGGATTCATCCTGTGTGTGTACAGGATGTTTCTCTCTCCAAAGCCATTCCAATGTCTGTAGTGAAGAGATATGGAGGCTCCTCTTGGGAGTTTGTTTGTATTTACAGGTGTTACCTGTCCTTGTGTGCAGCAGCATCGAGACACCAAGGCATGACTTGCCCAGAAAAAAAAAAAAGTGCTTTTTTTACTTCCCTTCATCCTTAAAACCCAAGTTTACACCATAAGGTCCTTTTAATTTGCTGATCCGATCTAGTTTATATATGTATTTGTAGTATCAAAATAGTTTTGTGTACACTTGTGAGAAGGGTCTTGGCTTTGTCCTGTGAAAACCAAAGGTCTAAAGCTGGACTTTCCTGCTCACATTTCTGTCCCTCTGGTTTTCCCATGGGTGAGGCAGCTGTGGTGCTTCTGGGTCCAGAGTGGAGCCTGGTGGGGTTTGCTGGTGCTTCTTTAGAAAAGTGACCTCTTGCCTTGCTGATGTTATCACACATTAAAAATGTGTCCTAAACACTCAGGTACAGGAATCAAGTTCTGTGCAGCTGAATAAAACCTGAAGTGCTAAAGGGAAGGATATTTTCTTCGTTCATAGATCTACAAACCAAGGCAGCCTGACTTTAAGCCAATTATTGAGGCTGAATTTAGACAAATTCTCTTGTAATGGGAAAACCAAAAATCTTATCTCAATCCGTTCACACTGACCTTACACAAATCTGCTGTGGTATCTGATCTTTAGCTGACCAAAACAGCAGCAAAGCTCTTGGTCTTTGTACACAGAATAACACTGAGTTGTTTTGTGGGCTTTAAAAATGGAATTCAGTCTCCCTGATGTGGGTTTTGGAGGTTATCACAAAGTGCCTTGGAAATCTGTGTGCTACATATTCTGCTGACACTGGTGGGAATTAGGAGTTCTCTGCAGACTGGTCTTTATTTCCAAAGTGCCACATGTGAGTGTGTCATTTGTCCTGATCCCAAATGCCAGCTCCTTAGTCTCATGGTGCAGCCAGAAAACTGGAGGGGAAAAGCCAGTGAGGTTTGAGAGAGCTGCAGCCCCTGTGTGTGGGATGGGGAGAAGGTCCTGGTTTGGGGTTGTGGCTGGGGAGGCTGCGGGAGGTGCCCTGGATTTGGGAGGGCCCAGAAGGGTTTTCCTGATGGAGCAGGACAGGGAAGGGCACGTGGGAGGGTGTCCTGGATCATTTCTGCCTCCCAGGAGCCTGCAGGAGCTGGGGGAAGGAGCAGTGCCTGTGAGTGTTGCCGGGGCACACGGGGGTGTCCGGCAGCCGCTGCATCCCTCAGGTTGCTTCTGGACCTTGTTTTTTGGAGTGTGTTGAGCATGTCACGAGTTGCATTGCTTTACAGCTCTGCTAGGACCTGTCTGAGGACTGTTCTCACCAGTATCCCCCGGCTTGTGCTCAAGCTCCTAGCACCTGGTATTGATTGCAATGTTTTATTGTCACAGAGAAGACCAGCTCAGTTGTAAGCTGAGTTTTATGTTTTATTGAGCTCCTCAGAGGGGCAGGAGGTTTGTGGGAGCAGGGGAGCAGGAAGCCCTGCCTGGTCCTTCGCAGGGGAATGCAGCCTGTGCTGCTCCAGCTCTGGCTGTGCCATGGCCACACAACGGGGACTTGCTGCCATTTCCCTGTGCTCGCCTGGGCTCCGCTTCTCCCGTGCTGGACTTGTCAGAGGAAGTGTTGTTAATAAGAGCAGGTAGAGACAGGACTTTTCCACCTCTGAATTCTGATTTCTGGCTGTGCTGCTGAGGGTGTGAAGGCAGGTGGATTTGTCTGGGACTGAGGCATTTGCATGAAGCCCTGACACTCTGGGCTCAGACCTGCAGGCTGGGTTATCTCTGGAACAGAGGCTCTCAGAGCACAGTCCTGAACACAAGATGATGGTTCAGCATGACCACAGGAGTAATCTAACATCCTGGTTATCAGCTATGATTCAGTCTCGTTAAGATGCTGCTCCAGTTTGGGATTAAACTGAATTATAAGTAGCTACCAATAGCACGGTAATTTTTTGCCCCGAGTCTGGAAATGCAAACAGCAATAGAATTGTTCCAAGTGCCCTACATCAGAAATAGAAACTAATTCTTGTAGTGGATCTGGGCAAAGTAACATAGAAAAGAGGGCTGCAATGTGCCAACCAACAGGGACTTTTAAAAGTGGTGTTAGTATTGCTTGTGGCAGAGGGACAGGTGTCAGCTCTGGGGACCAGCAGTGACTGGGTTTGTTCCCTGGCAGAGGGTGCCCAGAGCAGCTGGGGCTGTCCCTGGATCCCTGGCAGTGCCCAAGGCCAGGCTGGACATTGGGGCTGGAGCAGCCTGGGACAGGGGGAGGTGTCCCTGCCCATGGATGGTCTTGAAGGTTCCTCCCAGACCATTCTGGGAGTCTGTGTTGTATTTGGAATTCGGAATGTCTGTATCAAGTGGAGGTTTGT